ATCTCCCAAGAGTGTTGTGTGGAAAGCACTTTGTAAACCTTGAAACTATGAAAAGAAAGGTAAACAATTAGAATCACAGAGCTGGAGGGACCTTAGTCATCTTCAAGTCCCCGACTTCATTTTGGTAGGTAAGAAAAACAAAGACCCTTAAGAGAGAAAACAACTTGACCCAAATCCCACCCCACCCCCACCCCCATCAGTGATAGAGCTGTTGCTAGGGTCTCTCACTGCAGTGTTTTTCCCTCCATCATGCTATCTTCTATAGCCTTTGACAACTATAAATGCTCATAGAATTTTCAGTGTGAGAAGGAACCTCAAGAACTGTCTCATGCAAGCATCACCTGAACCAGAATCCTTTCTACTTTATACCTAAACAAGTAACCATTCAGTCTTTGCTAGAAGACTTCCAATGAAGGATAACCAGCCATGCCCTAAAGCAGCCTGTTTGAATGCTGTGATTTCTCTTGCAGCAAGTCCAGATCTGTCCCCCCACAGCCTCTACACTTCTTTCCTCATTCTGCCCTCTAGGGACAAACACTTCTAATTCCTCTTCTAGCCCTTCAGATGCTTCATGTTGGCTCTCATTCTCTACCACCACCACCCCATTCATCATATTCCTGATAAAATACCCTACGTTTCTTCAGCCAGCCTTCACATGGCATGGCATGCTCTCCAGGTTCTGTGCCATCCATGTTGCCCTCCAGCTTATCAGTGCCCTTCCTAAAATGTAGCAACCCAAACAGAACACAATGCTATAGATAGGTTTGACCAGGGAAGGACACAGAGGAACTAAACCTCCCTACTCCTGAACACTGCCTTTCAACACAACCTAAGATACCACAAACTTTTTGGATTGTAGTAACACAGTGTTGATGGATATTGAACTTGCAGTCCACTAAAACCACTTTTTCAGACAAATTGCTATCTAGTCATACTTCCCCTGCCTTGTGATTGTGGAGTTAATTATTTTAACTCAAGTATAAGACTTTACTGTCTCCTTTTTTTGCTAAGACTTTACATTTATCATTCTTAAATTTTACCTTACTAGATTTGGACCAACATTCTAACCTGTAAAGACCTTTTTGGATCCTGATTCTGTATCTAGAACCAGTTTTCTTTCCATTTTATTGCACTGTATCCCATTCAGTATAAGAACCCTGCACCTAGTAATATCTCAGTAAATAATTGTTAGGTTGAATTAAATAAGCATGAAATTGTATAATAAGCACCGAGAGGATGTATAGTGGGAGGCACTGTGAGATAGTGAGGGAAATCCTGGATTTGGAGTCAGAGCGTGAGTTCAAATGCCAGGTTTCTCATCTATGGAATGAAGAAAGGAGTTGGTCTGATGACTTCTGAGATCCTTTACGAGTCTAAATCAAGGATTACTATGATCTGAAATGCTAGGCATCCCTCCTAGCTTTGGATTGTTTGAAAATTTGATAGACATCCCATCTATGCTTTTAGTCAAGTCTTTGATAAAAATAGTAAGTAAGAACCAGATCCCAGGATCCCAGGAAGCCCTCCACTAAAGACCCTTTCCAAATTGACAGTAATGAATATTCTTTGAGTCTGGCCATCAGGTAGTCCTGAGTCTATGTTCTTTTATGACTGTCTAGCCTACATTTCTACATCTTTTGCACAAAGACAGCACAAGAGACTTTTTCAAATGGTTTTGCTTAAATTTAGGCATACTCTAGGTAGAGCATTCCCTTGATTTACTAGTCTAGTTACCCTGTACCAGCACTTCTCAAGTGTGGTCTGGGTACTTGAGACCCTTTTGGGGGGTCCTTGAGGTCAAAACTATGTTCATAATACTAAAGTATTTTAATTTTTAATATGGTAAATACCAGTAGATAAATACCACATAAACAAAAAGCTCTTTATAGGGAAGAGGGTCCTCAATAATTTTTAAGTGTAAAGAAATCCTGACACCAAAAAGTTTGAGAACCACTGCTCTGCGAAAAGGGAAATTAGATTAGTCTTGCATTACTTCTTCTTAATGAAGCCATGCTGACTCTTTGTCATACTCACTTGTCTCTTTAATAATGTGTTCTAAAATTTTGCAACCTATCTTAGTCAAGTTCACTGACCTGTGCTCTTTTCTCTTTTTTTGAAAATCAGAATCACATTGACCTTCTTCAGTCCTTGTAGTACTTCTTCCATACATACTCCACAGTTTTTCAGAGATAAGTAACAGTCAGATTCACCAGTTTTTTCATTATCCTGGGATATAGTTCTACCAGCCTAGTAACTTCATAGGGCAGCTGGGTACTTTCTTTCTCCCTCTCTATTTACCTTTGTTTTCAACTCCCAGCTACCCATTTTTTGGTTCTGTTCTTACAAGTCCAAGAATTCTTTTCCTTACCTTAGCAGAAAAAATAAGCAAAATAAATCACCTTCATTACATCTATTATCATTGTTCCATCTACCCCAAGGAGTGACTCTCTCCTTTCTCTTTGCTTCTTTTCCAGTACAAATCTGCAAAAAGCACCTTTCTCCATTGTCCTTTAGCTTTGCGTGCATTTTTTTTCACTAGCACCATTTTGAGCTATGTGACCTTGACCTTGAGCAAATCGCTTTTCCTCATCTGTAAAATGAAATTTTATCTCAAGTCTTTTCTGACTCTGGCATTTTATATTCCCCATCCCTTCAGACTCTGACTTTCTTCTAAGTTCTAAGTTCCCTTTTAAGTCTGATTGTCTATATGCTAACATTCCTTCCTGCTATGACATTCTACATTCTAGTGCCCTTTCCTACTCTGAAATTCTGTGGTTCTGGATTAGTTCAGTTGACATTGACCTTCTGGGGTACATTTTGAAAGCAAGCAAAAAAGCAAAGATAGAGGGACTTACTCATTTTAGGGAGAGACAGAGAAGGAAGACCTCCCTAACACCATGGAGAAGGCAGTGAGACTCAAGTTTCTTGCCCTGAGGTTAGAGTAAAGTCTTAGTTAGACATGGGGTGGTTTATATGTCTAAAGTCCAACTAGTTCTCGATTATCCATTGTAATAGATGAGCAAGAATCCATGAAATTCACCAATGTCATTTTCACTTAAGATATTGAAATGCTTCATCCCACTGCAGCTTCCCCAGGCTGGTCTACCAACACATTGGGAATCACTGCATCCCACTGTCTGCCCCTTAGGGATTTGTGTGACAAAAGCCTTGTGTGCCTGTGACAAGGAATTGCCTCTACCACTTCCCTAGCCAAGAGTCGTCCACCTTTTGTTCAATGCTCTCCAGTAATAAGAAGCCCTTTGCCTCTCAGTGAAGCCTGTTCTTTGTTAAAGCCCTGATCATTTAAAGGTTTTTCCTTTATATTGAACCCAAATCTGCCTCTCTGCTCCTTCCCTTCCCCACCTCCACACCCTGCATTGATCCTAATTCTGACATCAGAGGAGAGATAGAATCAAAACTAATGGAAAATTAATAATTTAGAGATTATTTGTGCCAGCACCCACTTTCCTTTAGTATAGAGATTTTTAAATGTTTTCCTTGAGTTTTCATTCATTTAGCAAAAGTTCATCATCAAACATCTGTATACAAGACCCTGTGCTGGTGGAAACAAGATAGATAATGCAGGTACCAAAATGAAGTACAGGGTAGAATAGGACACAGGCAATATGCATGGTTTCCACAAAGGGTAGGGTGGGCAGAGGACTGAAAACTGTGCCATCTAAGGATTAGTAGAAAGAAGCAGAGATAACCAAGGACTTGGGGAAGTCATGATAACTATCTTCAGATGGCCAAAAGGTTGTCACCTGGAAGAGATTAGGCATAATCTGGCTTGTCCCAAATGGAAAAATCTAGTAGCAATAGGTAGAATATGGGGGTGGGGAGGGGGAGAAGCCAATTTGGTGTTCATATAAGGAAAAACTTGCTAATAGTCAAAAGAAGTTGTCTCTGGTTGAAGTGAACTCCCTTTCATAGGAGGTCTACAAGCAGAAGCTGAGAGATGACTGTTTGGGGATGATATATAGCAGTTGATTCCTGCTTCAGGTAGAGGTTGGAAAACTTCTTAGAGGAGATGAGACTTTTTTTGAACTTTGAAGGATGTTTAGGATTTTATGTGGCATGACCATAAAATACATAGGATTATAGAAGAAAACAGTTATAGTTATCAAAAATTTTTTTTAATTCATGGACCTCCTGAAATCCAGGGTTGTGGACCTTAAATTAAGAATCCCTGATGGTTGATTTTTTTTTCATTTCTTTTTTTTTTTTAATTGTTGATTCTTGAAAGAAACTAGGGATTCTGAGAAATGGAGGTACATTGGATCCAGGCTGTGGGCACTGCAGTGCAAAGGCACAAAAGATAGAAATAAGGAGTATCGTGTCTGAATAATAGTAAAAAGGTCATAGTGTGCACGGAGGGGAATGATGTGTGATAAGGTTGGAAAAGTAGCAGGGGGCCAGGTTTTGAAGAGCTTTGAATGCCAAATACCATGTTAGCCAACATATGCTAGATTTTCTTCCCAACCAGAGAGATGGAGCAATCCAATAGTGCCTAGCTTGTTACAGAAGCTTTGGCTAGAGGGAATGTAGAGGAAAATAAGAAGGAATGTGATCGCATCACAACACAAGAGCAGTTGAAGGCAACAGGGAAAACAAGCCTCCAAAAAGTAATGAGATCCAGTTCAGCCTATAGCACTGGAAAAACGATTTTAGATGAAGTCAAGGCAACAAATAAATGTGAATTAGAACAGATCTGCTGGCATTTCTTTGGCAGTCCAACTAGTGTGGTATAGGCCCAAGAGCAGTGGATCTTGAGAAGGCTCAAAACTGAAAGCTTAGTTTTGAATCCAGATTCTTCATACCTACATGCCCTGGGGCCAAAAAAAAAAGTTCAACCTCCCTATGTTTTAATTTCCTCAACTAGTGAATAAAGGGCTTGAGCTTAATGATCTCTAATTCTAAATCATGTAATTTAAATTAAAACTTCTTCTAAGCATCCTAACTGAATTGTTGTTGTTCCTCTCCTACTCTTTCTCCCACAGTCCTGGTGACCCGAGAGGATGACTTCAACAATCGACTGAACAACCGGGCCAGCTTCAGGGGCTGTACAGCCTTGCATTATGCCGCCCTGGCTGATGACTACCGCACTGTAAAAGAGCTGGTGGACGGAGGTAAGAAGGCCTAAGATGGTAGCTTGGGGTAAGGGAAGAGCCAGCCCTCTGCCTTTGATTACTAGGGTCCTGGTTCCTCCCCAGACTTCCCCAAGGACCAAGGCCAAATATTAAAGAATTGAAAGGCCTGAATCTGTATGCATAAGATATTTAATTACAATGTCCTTGGCCTATGGCATTTGGCTGTGATGAGGCCTCCAGTGAATGGGGATTGGGTTTGCCCAGAGTCTGATTTTTCTCTAGTTCTGATTTACTTTTATACCTCTCCCATCCCCTTAATTCACTTTACCAAGACAGCAGAAGCCAGACATCTAGCATAGGAAACACAGGTCAATGGGGAGCAAGAAGGGATGAAACTTTATCAACGTGATGAGCAAGACACCAACCCTGTTCCTTCATGTTGTCATTCCTATAACACTTTGTACACAAAGCATCCGTTTACGTCCAGTATCTCATTTGATCTGTATGAAAACCCTGCACAGGAAGCAGAGCAGAGCTTGCCATCCTTATTTTACAAAGAAAGAGACCAAGTTTCAGAGAAGGAAGGTGCCTTGCCCAAGGTTACACAGCCAATAAATGGGAGGAGTTTGGATCAAGCCCAGATACCTTGATTTCCTGTCCTGTGCTCTTTCCACTGTACTGTCTCAGAAGAGGGGCAGGGGGACACAGTTGGGAACTCTGCCTCTCCTTCTGCCTTTTGCTTTCAACTTCCAAGAATACCACCCTCTGCTCTTTCAGGTGACTGTCTTGGTAACATTAGCTCTGGTCTACAAACACTCTCTAGGAATCTCCCATCCTCTCTGAGAGTGTCGGTAAGCTCTGAATCTGTGTCCCTAGCCAGGGCCCAGCAATATTTCAGCAGAGAGGGGTGTCCTTAACACAGGTACTCTCTTTCTTAGTACAGCACATGGCCTTTCCAGGATTCTTGTCTGTCTTTCTGTTAATCCCCCACGGCTGACCCACTAGCATGTGCTAGAGACCTTCCTCTGATTTTCTTACTGTTTCAAGGGTGCCACTGCAGCTCCTCCATTTGTTATCCATCCCTCCCTATAAGTACATAACTAGCCCACCTGTTTTCATCATCTTTGACCTTCATGGTGTCTTACACCATTTCTTGTGCACAGGTCTACACTGGCAATAAAAAGAATAACATTAATAATAATACCTCTCATTTCTAGAGCATATAAAGGTTCACACAGTATTTTCTGGAAAACCACCCCATGAAGTAGCTCTCATTATCCCCATTTTACAAATGAGAAAACTGAGACTCACTGAGGAGAAGTGGCCCAAGGCAAACAACCAGGAAGGGTCACATTCCTCTAGAGCTTTCCCATTATGAAGTGCTTACCCATCCATGCCCTCACTTGATCCTCACAGCGCTCCTAGAAGGGCCTAAGGAGACCAGAAGTTTTACATTTTACAGATGAAAGCACTAGGGCTCAGAAAGCTGGACTGATCCTCCTCTGATCACACAGCTATTTGAGTGACCTTGGAACTGCGAGCGCATCTTCTGGCTCCATGTCTAGCACTCTGTCCACCACTGTGCCCTTTCTTTAGCTTTTCAGGGAAAACAAGTGGAATCACATTCTAAAGGATTAGAATTTAAAAAAAAAAAAAGAAGTCTGTATAAGAGGAGAAGGGGACATACATGGCTACACAGCATTTTATCTAAAGATCTGAGGGTGAGCTGTCCTACAAAAGTAACTAAATTGTTCATGCCCTTTGACCTCAGCACCACTCCCTCCTGGAGATACCCCAGTGAGGCCAAAGACAGGGAAGGCCCCATGTATCCCAAAATATTTGTCACACCACTTTTTATGGTAGCAAACAATTGGAAACAGACCAGGTGCCTGTCGATTGGAGAATAGCCAAGCAAATGTTGGTATATGAATGTAAGAGAATATTATTGCATTCTGAGAAACAGTGAATTATAAGAAGTTTGGAGAAACTTGGGAAGATTTATTTGATACAGAACCAAGAGGGCAGCACCAGTGTGACAGAAAATTTTTTTTAACTAAGTAAAGGAAAACAATCCTAGAAGACATCAGATTTCAGATCAGTTCATCGTAACACTGATGATGAAATGTTCCTCTTCTCCACAGAAAGGTGGCAAACTATAGGTGCTGAGTGAAGCATATGTTGTCAGCTGTGGTAAATGTCATTTTGTTTTGTTTAACCATATTTCTTGTTACAACAGGAGGTTCCACTGGAGTATTTGAGTATTGTGCAGTGGTAGCACTGTGTCTAAAAGCATCAGTAAAATTTCTTTTTTTTCCCTTTTTTTTGTACTATGTATGGGTTTTGGCAGGCTGCCAGCCATGTAATATGTGATATTAGGTTGCATTTCCTTGTAGCATGGCGTCCGAGATTGCACATGATCACTGCTCCACATTCTGCTCTGGTCCAAAAGCATCAGAGTACTGGGTTCAGTTCTGAGTGTCAGACTTTAAGAAGGCACACTAAAGTGTCCAGGCCAAGGCAGCTAAGATGGTTAAGCACCTTGATTGATAGCATAAGAGGCTACCTTGCAGGAACTGAAGACATTTATCCCAGAGAAGTAAAGATTTAGGGGAGGCATGTTAGCTGCCTTCAGGTATTTGAAGAAGATGGAATAGACTTACTCTGTTTGACCCCAGAGGGCAGAGCTAGAAGTAATAGGTGGAAATCAAAAAGGGGCAAATGTAGGCTTGGGGTTAAGAGAAACTTTCTGACTGTTAGATCTCTCCGTATTTGGAATGAACTACCTTAGGAGGGAGGTAGTGGATTTCCCTCTATGCAAGCTGTTTTAACAATGGTCTCTTGCAGGAGAGGGAATTATTTTTCAGGTGTAAAGTAGGCAAGAGAGCCCAACTCTGAAATTCTTTGATCCTGAGAAACCCTTTAGAGAGAGAGGGAAAAGGAAAAGGGTGAGTTGTGCAAGAACTCTTGAAGATGGTTTCTACCTAGGGAGCAGTCATCTCTGATGGGGGAATATTAAGCTTCAAAGAAAGCCTTGCCCTGACTAGTTGCCAATGAATATCACTTGTCTTGTTCATGATTTCCCCCATAGACCAAGTCAGGAGACAAGATGATTTGTTTGTCTAGTCCCCTAACTTATAAAAGGAAACCAGTTCTTCTGTCCCTCAAAGACTTTTGGGAATAGAACTGGGCACAGAACTCAATACCCAAGAGATGCCCTTCCCTCCCTCCTTTTACCCTACCTCAATGACTTCAGAATAGGAAGTGCAGAGGCAAAGTCCTTCCTGGCACTTGCCCTGGCCCAAGTCTTCTGGTCACTGGAAACTCTAAGCCCTAGCGGTAAGCCTGTGGTTTCAGGGGTCATCCTGTGTATCCTGTGCCTGACCAGTAACCCCAGATACAGCATCCTCAACAAGTGGTCTTTGCCTCTGAAAGACCTGATTCAGTGATGGAAAACTGCTGCCTCCCAAGCCATGCCATTGTCCCTGAGAGGAGGCACATCCCTGGGCCAAGTCCCATCCCTCAGGCCTCTCCAGATAGAGCATATATGTTAGGGCAGAGAGTACTTTGGCCCAAGACTGTTTGACCCAGCCATAGTATCCATAAAAGCTGGTTGAGCCCCTCCCAAAGGCAGGTGCTAGAAAAGTGTCCCAGAGCTGTATTGTTCTTGTCTTTTTGTTTTTTGAGAAGTTTTTAGGAAGGGCTTTTGTGGGTGAGGGATACCATAGCCCTTTTCTGTTAATTGATGTACCCCTATTCCCCAGGGCTTCATGTTTCATCCCCTTTCACTCTATCTCTTCTATGTCCTCCATTCCCCCCTGCCCCCTTCACAGTATCTCCTCCTGTATCTGCCTGGAAGTTGGTTCTGAAAGAGAACCCGCTCCCCTGGGATGAGATCGAACACCTTTAAAGCAGTTCAGCCACGGTGTCTTTTGTAAAGCAGCTCCCTGCCGAGGCCAGCCCCATTGACCCAAGCCAGGAGTATGCTTCCTGTTTGCTGACATGGAACAGATGCCCCCCAGCCTACTAGCCCCCCGGCCTTTCCACTTCCCCCCACCTGCTTTCTTCCAGAGTGTCCATTTACACACACCACCACCACCCCTCCCTTATTCCCCTCCCTCTTGGCTTTCCCCAGCCCCAGGCCAAAGCCATTAACCATCCAGCTCTCTCCCTCCCACCCCCTTCTACCTCAGACAAGTGGCCATCAGTCAGAATAGGCAGGGCCACCAGCAGCCAACCTCTCCACCCTGACCCCTGCCCTCTGTGACCCTGCAGGCCTCTCTTCATGTTTAAGAGAGAGGCCCTTTTCCTATTCCCTCATCCTTTAGAGTGAGGCTGCCATTGATATTTCCAAAGTGTCCTTACCAGCAAATAGTAACGAGCAGAAGCATTTGTCTTAGACTTTTGAAATCATTTGGGGGATCTTAGAATCATATAATCTTAGACTTTCAAAGGATATTAGAAGTCATTTAGGCTAGAAGCTGATCTTTCATGATCTTCCACTCCTAGTATCTTAGAACTACAGGGTTCCTCAGAGGGCATCTGGTCCAGTCTCACAGCCCTTGCACACATCTCCTCAGTAGCATCCCTGATAGGTGAGGAAAAGGAGCACGCTCTGGTGCAGTGAGTCAGGAAATCTGGATTCCCCTCCGGCCCTCTTGCTTAGTTCTTGTGTAATTTGGGGCAAGTTGCTTAACTTCCCTGGGCCTCAGTTTTCCTCCTCTATAAAATGAGGAAGGTAACCTAAATGATCTCTGAAGTCCTTTTGCAACTCTTAAGCCTTTAAGGGAGCTGAGAGCCACAGAATCTGCTGTCATGCATAGATCTGGTCACATCGCAGCTCTGCTCAGAACTGACAGCCCCCTATTGCCCACTGAGAGAGGTTCAAACACCTGACATTCAGAGGCCTCTACAAGCTGGCAACAACCCCCCCTTTCCTGCATCCTCTCATTCACATATTCCAAAATCCAGCCAAACTGTTCACTGTTCTTTCCTCATGCTTCTCCCTGTGCTTGGAAGACAATGCTCCTCACTCTCCTTCA